GTCATAGAAAAATGAATCAGAGATCTCTCTGCATTTCACCATTCATCAGTATTCTTCATCAAATAATTTTTGTGCAGTCATAAATTACTGGAGAACACACTATATAGTTTCCTAAAACCCTCCAGCTTGAATTGGTCATCAGTCAGCGGTGATTCTGCCTGTTTCATTGGGCCATTGATCTGTCATTTCTGTCAACCCCTTTTCTTTCCGCTGTTTCTTCAGCACTGCCTCACTTTACATGTACTTTCCAAACAGCCGAATAATTGCATTATCAGAAATAATTACACACATTGAAGCTCAGCCTAGTGGAGAAGGCTTAAAGGCTTTAAAGTGTTGTTCTTGTGTCGTGTTTCAGGCAGGCAAGCAAGTTAAAACACACTGTAAGATGCCAAGGATGTGATGGGTGAAGACACATTGGTAAATGACATTTAACTTTATTTAAATGTCAGTCTGATGGTTTCCGTCATTGTGGACACACATCAGCGAAATACCTCGGGCAGTTAATATAGACTTCCCTCCCGCTATCTTTTCTAAACGTATTTGGGGACTAGTAAAATTGTGCGTGCTTCAATTTGGTAAGAAGCATGGGTTGCAACAGTACAGTACAGTCTAATTTTTGTCATTTGGGTGTAATTGTATCTGTCAGTATTTCATTTTTTAGTAATTCTAGAAACTCTACTTTTAAGTCACAGATTAGAACCTGAAATTGTATTTAATGTACTAGGTTTATTTGTTTGGGGATTTCAGTGTTAACTGCCCCTGGCATAAACACATTTTGGTTAAGTTTTTCAGGGAAGACATCTGTGCATTGAATTCTGCATTGGACACTTACAGTAGCTGCACTGTTGTTAATTTAAATGTAAAGTTCTCATTAATCAGGGTAAACATTAAGTGTTAGCTTTAGTTTGTTCAGACTGCAGGACAGAAGAATTGCAGCTCAGTTCACTTTTAAAAAGCAGATTTGGACTTGTTAAATGATTAGTTCTGTCCTTTCAGTGTTTATTTTTGTCCTATAACATCTTTTTAATCTTAGCCTTGGCTAATTCCATTTTCTGTTTAAACATACTGAACCCTGCTGATTATAAAACAAGGCAAGCTTGTTTTCACTTAACATCTCTATACTGAATGTTTTGCCTCATCTGTCTCTCAGGGATAATTTACGGGTGACACAAGTCCCAGAATTATTTTCAGGAGTGAATTATAGCCCTGAAGTTTTCTGATATCTATGAAAAGGGTTGTTGATTTTTCCCAGGTGTTAAACATTCTGACAATATATGTCTTTTCAACTGCTTGGATAATAGAGGGATTTTCCAGTAATTAATTTTTAATAATTAACATAAAAAAAGCTTAACACTGATAAAAACTATAAAAACATAATATATCCCAGAAGGTAATGCATACATTTGCTGAACCTTGTAAAAAAGACTTTCACTGTAAAATAAGTACTGAAAATGAGTAACTCTTCATACAGTATATTGTTGTTCTTTACATACTAATTTTAGATTGTATAATGTAATGTTTTTGTTATTTCCTTATTATATTAACAGTGAGGATATTCCACTAAAATGTTTGTATATATCTAAAACAACATTGCATTAGTCCTCAAGCACGATGGTTCTCATTTCTCTATTTTTTTATGTTTGTAAGCTATTTCAGAAGGCTTTCCTTCTAAAATGACACCCACAGAGATGCTGTTTACAGAACAACTTTCCAGTTCCAGGTAGCATTTTAGTACAATATACTGTGGTCACAAGATTATCCTATGTTATGCTTAATGACAGCTAATGACACTGTCATAATCATTTATCTAAAAACACTAAAATGTCTGAATACCGTTATAAAATTAATCCATAAAGGGATATTTCATACTTTATACTTTAGCTTTGTACAAAGCTTTGTAAAAACTTTGTAAAAAGTTTTTACTCTTTTCTCATATGAAGATCCCATGCACTTTTGTTTGAACGTTTTTACGCTCAGTTCAGTTTGCTGTCATTTAATAACAAACAGATGCATATCACTAACTCATGCATGCTGCTTGAGCCAAGAGAGACGCTCAACTGAAGTGTTTTAATGCCCGCAATGGACACACAATAATTAATGAAAACACCCCAAATACATTTTTGTTTGTTTGTCTTGCAGGATTGTTTGCAAGTTCAACCCCGTCTGTGAATATTCACATTTCTGTGGTTTTTGCTTTTTTCATTTTCTCTCATTCAAATGAAGAAAAATTAAATTTCCAACTGAATGAAAGTGAGTGATGAGATTGGAATGAACTAAAACTAAAGGTGCAAAGAATAGATAAGAGAAGATTTTTTGTTCGACTTCAACAACTCCAAAGAGCAGATAAATCTAACCTCATTTGACAAATAAAATACTGAAATTCTACTTTGCCATTAATTATTTTTAAAAATTCAAGCAAATGTTGTCTCAAGAGATACAGTATTTGCTTCTTCTGGCTTCCTCTGGTTCTGAATCTGAATGACAGTCTGACATCTGCTACTGTATATACAGTACTGTATGCTCATCCTAATGGAGTGGCTGGAGAATGATCACGGCATCAGTGTTTGTACTCCTGGCCTGGGGAAGACCTCTGGAGTTCATGCTTCTCACTTGTATTCCTCAAGCAGAGTTTTCACATCATTTATATTGTCTACTGTATGTTGTCCATGTTTCAGCCCCATGAAGTAGGATTGTCAAAACACTCTGCTGCAATGAGCACAAAATAATTTTCTTGAACATACATACAAGTCCCACATTCTTACTGTGTATATTATAATAGTTTTGAACCAGGCTGTATTTTTGGACTTTTTCACGATTTATTTGGTTCTAAATGTTTATTAGTGAAGTACAAGAATATAATTTATTTAATTTGAGGATGGAATGTGAGGTATGAAAGAGAATAGTTTGACATTATCCGAATGAAAAAGTAAATGAAATAGGTTTTATTTGATGAGTCAATTGTTCAATGTTCTTACCTATACATAACGGGGGAAAATAATTTATATAGCCTAAGGGGATGGTTTGATTAAACTATTAATTTTCTGTATAACTACATGGTTTACCCCAGAGGGGTAAAGACCTTTTGCGTATTACCACCGCAAAACACTGGTGTTTAATGTGTTCCTAAGCATTATTTGTTGATGTGAAATGCACTCATAAATCTGGTAGGCCTTGGAGTCCTTCCAAAGAGATCATCCTTGAAATGTGTCAGGATTCAACGTAAATCACCAAGAAAGGAGAAGTTTTCCCCTTGGAGCTCTGCACTGTTTATTTAGCAATCTGACACAGAAACAGGGCCACAGTGACAGAGGTTTTTTTGGCCTTGTTGATTTATAGGAATGATATGTGCTTCTTGTTGTAGAGGTGGAATATTCTGTCTCACGTCAGATGAGTGTGTTGAAATAAAACACATTCAGCCTGGTTGGTGAATATGGGTATCTTAGCGTGCCAATGATAAAAAATTCAATCAAATAGTTTATGAATCACTTAAAAGATTCAGAATCCCCTTAGTGGGGGATAGATTAGGTCAGAGTTTCTTTGTACTAGGTACTCCAGTAAATGACCATGATATGGATGCTGGTATCAAAATCTTTCTTTTCCAGTTACTTTACCAGGAATGTAAGTGTCATTAACAATATACTCTGCACTGTAGATCTGACTCTGAAACACAAAAGATGATTAAAAAATTATATATTAGATTCCTCAGAAGAAATAAAGTGAATTTGCAGACCGAAGATAAAAAACACAAACTCCTTGAAAGATAGTATCTTTTCTAGCATTCCTTTGAAGAATTCCTATTAAATTGTATGATAGAATATAACAGAAATTGCAAGAATGTAACTGAAGTGACTTCCTTGGAGGAATAATGGGTTAGACTTGCAAAACCTGTCCGTCTTACAAAGTTTATCTGTTTTGACGACATCTTTTGAGTCAGGTGAGGCTTATAGCAGAGAAGCAGACAAATTGCAGAACATAAATCAAATGTTTTGTCTGTCACCTACTCTGACATGGATGTCTCCTCTTGCAACCAAATCACTCTGCTACACGAAATCTCCCATTTTAGTAAAAGAAAATTATTTAAGATATGAAAAGACACCTTTGTCTTCAATTCAACTTATAGATCTCTTCAGAACAAGAAAAGGTTGTTTCTCTTAAAAGTACATAAAAATGTGTTGAACAAATTGCACTTCATCATGATCAAAAACTTCAGCATCAATGCACTGGTTACTGGGGATGTTTACTGCAGAGTTTTGGATTGAATTCCTTTTTGGTACTTAATATTTGGATTGAGAACACTTCCACATCACAGCTCTTCTTGGCACTGAAATGTGGAATGGGACTTGCAATGTATCACTAATAATTAATATAATAGTATAGTCCTTATAACAGTAGTACTGTATAAAGAACTTAGTTATACGAGCCCTGTCAATAGGTTTAACATATACTTATTTTTGTGCTTCAGGCTGTGCTGACTAACCTCATTAACTGTTTTTATGTCACCAAAGCAGATCCTGTTCTCATTCATTCCAGTCAAATGCTGCTGTTTTGCCAATCTGTTTGCACAAGAGCACCAGGCTTGCTTGAACAGTTTCATGCTGTACAGGCTTTAATTTGATGTTCATGTACTGTAGCCATCGTCGTAATGGTTAGGTTGATGAGACAATTTCAGTACCTGACTGTTTCTCACTGCAGAGTGCTGAATGTGTTTTAAAGTACTCTTGTGTGGAGAGCAATTTGAAAGACTTATATACTATAATGTCTATGGCTGTTTCACACCGGTTTTTCTGAGCATATGGATAAAAGGCCTGCTCCTTAGAGCAGAAAAAGTTTCCACATTACAAAATGTGGAGCAGTTTTATTTGATTATTTTGATGTCTCATATAAATGATCCTCCAACATATTGTCTTTATAATATCTGGAGACAGGAAACGCAACAATGAACACAATAACATAACAGCAGATTCCATTAATTTTGTTGTTTTCTTTTTTCTAACTTTCAGTGCAGATGAAAGATTTGATGCAACCTTCCACACCAATGTCCTGGTTAATGCATCAGGGTCGTGCCAGTACATTCCTCCTGGTAAGCTAATGCTTTAACAAATCAAGCAAAGAATGTGATACATTGTGATGAACTATTAATACCCATGTTTCTTTCAAGAAACATCTAGATGAGACCAATTGGCTATTAACTACTGAATGGCCAGCTGATATTTACAATCTGTCTTATATCATTTTTTGTATTCTTATATTTACTGTAAATGTTCTTAAGGCTAGGGCTTGCAAGAACTCGCTGATTCAAAAGCATAAAATCTGTTTTGTTCATATAAAAAATAACATTTTGCAAGATACAGTACAGTATTGATAAGTATATATCCTCACACACTATTTCTAATTCAATCTAAGATGTACATCGTGAATTCATAAATCTGCCATTACTGCAGCTAATTCTCTGATAACGGCTGTCACTGCAAATTATTATTATTATTAAGATAAAAAAATTAAAAAGGTGGTACTTGGATGCTTTTCTTGTGTTGTGGCACACTAGGGATTCTGAAGAGCACCTGCTACATCGATGTTCGCTGGTTCCCCTTCGACATCCAGAAGTGCAATCTGAAGTTTGGATCCTGGACACACAACGGCTGGCTCCTGGATCTGCAGATGCTGGAAGTGGACATATCCACTTACATCCCGAACGGAGAGTGGGATTTAGTAGGTACGTTTTCAGTGAACGCCACTGTGTCATAGATAGACCCATTTCAGTTAACACTCCACTCCACTATTAGATTAAGATGAATCCTTTTGGTGGAGTCAGGGATTATCAAGTGTTACACAGCATGTGTGTTCTAGGGGAGCTTGATAAAAAAGTAATAACTAGGCCCAAACTTAGCCAAGACAAACACAGATATGTTAACAATAAATTATAACCCTCACCATATACAGCTACTGTACCGTATGTCTAATCAGTGGGATTCAAAATCCTTCTTAATTTAGACATTCAGAATTCTGCTCAGAATATCCTAAAGGAATCCTGTACTGCACTAAATATCCTCCCTGAAGCACAGACGCTTATTTATTCTAACAATGTATCTCTAAAATAGGATTTCCTCAAATAAAGAAGACAGTAAATTATCATATAGTAACAGCATAATAATGAGTCTGGAACTCATTCTATCATTTACTGTAGATTAACTGGGCAGAATCTACACTGTAGTCCCCAGTCTGGTTAGTTAAAGGAACCTTCTCACAGGACAGCTTTGGAAATGATGATAATGGTGATGAAGACAATGCTGATGACAATTTAAAGACATCTGTTCTCCCTTCCTCTCTTCTTTTTACTTCCTACATTCCTGTTCATGCATTTATTATGCAGTATATAAAATTAGGTTAATGTACCTGGGTAAATTAGGAATACTCATTGAACGTCTGTGTCTTCCTTCTTTCTTCATGACTGAAGGCCAGTCACATAAACACCACCTAACTATATCCAATAGTAATAATAATAAAATAATACATTAATTAAACAATATAATGGGTATACAGTAATATATTCATATAACATTTATATTTTATTATATTATATATATTATATGATATTAGCACTAATAATAATAATAGCCTGTGCACTTTTCTGGACCACCAGGATGATGCAACGGCAGCCAAAGTTCAAATAGTACAATCACCACACACCAGCTATCAGTGGGAAGAAGAGCAGAGTGATGAAGCCAGTTCATGTTGGGGATTATTAGGAGGCCATGATTGCTAACGTCCAGGGGAAAATCTGGCCAGGTCTTTTCTGAAACTCTGCTGCCCACCCCGGCAATACAACAGTACTATCTTTTGTTTTGTTTTTTTTTCCCTTACACACTGCTATCTTCAAGATGGAAGATTAATAAAAAGCAATGTTTTCAGTAACTTTTCAAAACTATCAAAATATATATGTATATATTAGATATTGTGAGTGTGAGTCTAATAGGGAGCTTTAAAGTTTCAGCATTAAATTTGCTCTCCTTTTTTCTTTTTTCTCCTCCTTTATCGCTTTCTTCCTGGTGGAGAGATGTTTTGGGGGGCACTTGTGTTCTGTATTAGCAAAGATAACAACTTCAAAGGGGATAAACCTCTGTCTGTAAAGGTCGATAAAGCAAAATAAGAAAGGGTTTAAAAAGAGAGTTCCTTCCAAACTCACTAGGGTGCTGGAACCAGACTTTAATGATGCTTTGGATCAGACAGTAAACTGAAGGTTGCGGGGATGTTCGTCATTGCCTTTGCCAACAGCCCAGTGTGGAGCTGGAGTGAGGATACGATTACAGTGTGGACTAAAATGACAAAGGATGCAGATATTCAGTTATGACAGGAACGCTTTGCATCTCCTTTCCAGAAACTGCACAGCAAACCTGTGATTTTTGTCCTTATTGTTCTTTTATTGCAAATCTTTGTTTTGTGCCGTGTGCTTTATGCAGTAAGAGAGCTCGTTTGCCTGGTTTGTAATTCAATCTTATTTAAACTTAATGGGTTATATTACTGTATAAGAAAGCTGGGGGAAAAGGATCAACTCCTGATTTTGAATTTTATTCATTTATTTCCAGTCTTTCTGTACAGGCATTGCTTAAAATGTCTTTTGTTTACCATTTGGATATTGTTATGCATTGACATTCAAGTTGCACTTGAAATATAACCATTTTCTTCAAGATTTTAGAATTCCATTATCCCTGTTCAGGTTGAGATCGAATCTAATCTTTGGATTTAATAACACTAAGGTATAAATTTTCTCCTTTATTCATGACACCAAGAATAGCGTCTGCAAAGACTGTAAGGTGCTTATTAAGTTTATTTGACAAAAATCTTTCCATTATTAATGGTGTATAGAGCTGTACTACTGCTCTACAATCCTCTGACCCAAGTAGGTTCTATGCTTCTGTCACTCTGACAGTAATAGAAGTTTTGATAAATGGGTTGATCATGGAAGATGAGAATGGAAAAGTTAGAGGTTAAAAGTTAAAGATAATTTGTTGTTTCCCCTTGAAGAGGGTGAGTGTTTAAAGTTATAAGGATAAAATATTCATGCAGTGGGAAACTGTGGCAGGATGTGTGAGGGCATAATCATGTCAATGGACTCCATGTTCATGCAGGATTGCATCTTTTTTCATAGATATTGTGATGCACTTAAGACCAAATGGTGCAGTACTATACTTCAGGTGTCACATAAACATGATTGTACAAGTCATTGTAAGTGAGTAAACGAAATATGTAGTCTTATTACATACTTCTATTGTACTGTATGTATTCTTGTCAGAATTATGCTTTTAATATCAATGTAAATCAATAAGCAGAAAAGTAAACGTGAAATACTGTACCATTAATCATGTGTTCCAATCGTGTTCCAACTGTGCAGTCTAATTCTGAACAATTGTGAGAAAAAAGCTGTTTCTGATGTGTTTAAAAGGAAAGGGAATCTTCACAGTAAATCCTGCATCTAAAGAAAGATGCCATTCCCATCCACAATAACACTGCAGAGCACAGATACTTCAACTGTTGCTCGTTATTGGTGTTATGACTACTGCTGATTAACTCCGCTATTATTTTTCAATCCTCTATCTCATTAATTTCCCTGATCCAAATGCATACTTGTTCTCTTATCATTTTCCTACACATTAACCAGTTCCTAATCTAATGTGCGCCCACACAATTATTTCCAGCAGCTTTTAATGTGAGAATTAATGTTTTACATGTTATTTTACCAAAAACATTCTGGATGTCTAAATATGTTATTTCATGTGAATTACTTTGATTTACTGTGAGCACTTCAACAGGATCAGCCCTTTCTAACTCAGATATGACACTTCCCAAGAATAAAGGTGCTAGGAAGAAAATCCCAGAGATCTATCTGTTCTATACTGTAGATACCATTTCTTTTTCACATACTATAATTAATCCTTTATTAACTCCTAGACAGTGCTTCTTCCTGTACAATTTGTCTTGTGCTGTAGTTGATAGGATTAAATAATGATTCCTTATTTTAACTATGTATTTTGTGTAACTGGACTACTTTATTCCTGTACAGTATGTATGGTGTATGCTCTAATTTCCCATACCGCTGTAATTAATTAATTGGACTTTGCTATTAAGCATTATTCCACCGTTTACTTAACAGATAATTAAGCCTTTCTTTAGCAGATCGTTAACTTCCCACCTAATTTGGACTCCAGTCTCTCAAGTATGATATCTGTGCTGGACAGAAGTCTCATTTTCTGGTTGCTGGGCATGAAAATGCTAAAATTGTGGTTCCTGATTAGTCTATCAATCAGATAGCCTACCATGCATAGGCAACATTGTCTTTAAAATGTATTTAAACATGGTAAGAAATGGAGAGAAATAAAAAGAGTACAGAATGTATGTTGGAAGCAATGATGCGTACTAAACACCCTTTATAAGAACGTGATCTCATTGTTTAAATACCAAGTATTGGAAACAATATATTTTAAAGTAAAGGACACGTAAGTTACTTTAGTGAACTTTGGTGAATGAATGGAAGTTACTGTGTGAACTGGAGGTTGGGAGGGATAACACTGACGAGTCATTCTTACAGCTCACAGCTGCACTTCACCATCATCACCAAACGTGTTACATAGATTTATATATATGTATACACATACATTTATACAGATGGGCATTTTACTGCAGTGTATTGTTTGTGCGCAAAGCATCTTGCTTCTTGGGTACAGTACCAGTTTGAACCCACAAGCTCCTGGTATAGTTCTAGGACTGTGAACACTGCTGTCTCCAGGAGTGCAGTACTGGATGTGTAACCATATTTCTGTGATTTCTGTTTTACGCACAGGGGTCCCAGGGAAGAGAAATGAGGAATACTATGAGTGCTGCAAGGAGCCCTACCCTGACGTGACATTCACTGTAGTGATGCGGCGACGAACACTATACTATGGGCTCAATCTCCTGATCCCCTGTGTGCTTATCTCTGGTCTGGCTCTACTGGTCTTTCTGTTACCAGCTGACTCGGGAGAGAAGATTTCACTTGGTAGGATTTTTGTTCATTTTGAGTGGAGCTATTTGTACCAGTAAAGAACAAGTAGAGGTCAATTTCATATTAAAAAGAAGAATAAAACACAGCATTTTAGATTTGGATCCAGTTTCAGCTGGCTGGAAACTAAACATTTCTACTTTCTACTTACTGTATTAGCACATAATTAACCTTTATACTGTATGTTCCTTTACAGCTTGAACACTAGTTACCTGTAGCAGTGAAAGAGGTGCTTCGGGATTCGAAAATCAGCCATTTACCAAAAACAAATCCAGAGCTAGTGTAACTATAATTTTAATTAATTAATTGAAACAACTGTTCACTTAACTGAATCATTTTAATCTCTTTCCCATACTTTAAAGCAAGGGTGCCAAACTGAATACCTTGAGGAATTGCCTAATTACCCAATCTGAGATCTCAATTAAACAATTAACCTAATTATTTTCTTGTTTAGGTTTCCTAAAGTCTTTTACAGTTAACACAAAGCATTCATCTATTAGGCGCATGTGGAACACAAAGCAGAGGACACTTGGCCCTGGAATTGAGTTTGACACCAATGTGCTAAGGTGTTTCATGAGGTGAAGACACATTCTAGATTGTGGTCCCAAGGAGTGGATTAGAACAGAACTTTTTTAGATGGTCCCATTCTTTTCTCTTTCATAATGCTTCATTGTCCAGGAGACACTGGCATTGAGTGGGTTTGAGTCAAGCAGGGTACCCTTCCTTTGCCATGCGAGAGCAATTTCTAAGGCTTATGAGGCATCTGTGAACTGGCAGTGTAATCAACGGGAGTGGCATCAGTGTGAATTCAGCTACACAGGTGTTTTGAGTCTCACACTGTGGCTCAGCAGTGCAGGTTTCTCAGACAGCTGGACAAACAGGAGTGTTGAGGAGTGATTAGGGTCCTGGACACTAGGAGATTTGGCTTCAAATCTATGATGAGACACTGCAGTTGTAGTCTTGAGCAAAGCTTCACCTGAACAAGTAAAATGGCCAGAAGGACAAAAGAATGCAAATATGAGTAACTTTGGATGAAAGTGTCATCCGCATACAGTATGCGTGGAATGTTTGCATCACTGCCTTGCTGGTCGATTGGACAAGCAAAATTGATTGACAAGTCCGAATTCAAAATTTAGGAGAGTGAAAAAAAAACTTGTAGGTATTTCCAAAAAAAAGACTATCCTGATACTATTTTTTCTCCTGTTTTGGAATATCATTAAAGTCACACCTAATACTGCAGAAAGAAGGTATGTTTAAATTAATAGCTATTGCATATTGCTTTTCACGGTGTACACAAATATCTGTCCTTGAAAGTTAAAAGTACCAGAAAACTGTAAATGAAAACGTTTGAAATGCCTTGACAAGTCGTTGGGTCCTTACGTGAAAGCTGAAAGATAAAGCTGTAGATGGGACTATAGAAAAGGTTTCAACTCAGTGGGGGCCATTGAGGTTGACTTTGCCAATACCTTTGAGAACTTTGTGTATTTGGATCAGGTCCCATTGTAGTCCTCTCTCTTTAAGACTGAAAAGATTCAGTTGTTAGTTGTTTTAGCCTGTCAGTGTAATGCATTGCTTTAAGCCTGGAAATGAATCTCATTGCTCTTCTCTGGACTAATCCAAAGCAACAATATATGTTTTTTTCAAGATGGCAAATATTGTATTACATATAGTTTGTCTGAAGTGTGAAAAGAGTCGTTTAATACAGTATAATAGAGAGATTTGGCATCAGCAGTAAATGCAATAACGATACAGATCCATGAATACAGTATACTGTATGAGGTACACCAAGCTACTAAAAAAAGAAGAAAACCTTCAAAAATAATAACTGGAAGCCATTAATTGAGATCCAGTAATTCAAATAATTTTCTTTTATTTCATTTTTTTTTTCAGGGATCACTGTCCTTCTGTCCTTAACAGTGTTTATGCTGTTGGTTGCTGAGATAATGCCTGCAACATCAGACTCTGTGCCACTTATAGGTAAGGTGTATTTGAATTTTTGTATGTGAACAAATTACATCACAGGCTGTTTAATTTCGCTTTTTGAATTGAACCTTGACTTAAAAGCAGTGTCTTTGTTATTAAACATTATTATGTTATTGAACTTCAGGCTTAGGATCACAGTGACTGCCTGAGCTAGGTGTCATTAGGTTCCAGGTCCTTCTCTTTAGCTGCTAGACCCTAAAGAGAATTGAAGTAAATTTACATAATTAACAACAGTAACTTTTTTCTTTAACAGAATGTCCTAAAAGAGAGAGGGAAAGCTATTAGACAGATTCCATTACTGTTAAGCTCTGCTACTGACTGTTAAACATGAACTACTGTACTTTTCACTTATGCTAAACACATTTACAAAATTGTTATAGAAGGAGAAAAAATCCCATAAAATGAATCATGGCTATGCAAGAGAAGCTTATACAGACGATAATTATTTAGTAAATGGTCAAATATGTGAAGAGTTTATCTGGAAATTATAGATATATTGTATTCACATTACTTTTATGGTAATACGGTATGCTGTTGCAGTTCATTACTTTTACTATAGTTTTAACAGAAAGCAAGCCTAAAGTGAAGATGGGAACAAGACTTATTACATAAGCAATGATCCCACAAATTAACCCTATGTCATACAAATGATAGCATAGAAACATATTTATCAGGACTATATCAAAATGGTGAGATCCCTGATAAAATGTCCATCAATATTCAAGTAGTGTTTAAAATTAAAGTGCATTACCACTTATTGAAAACAGCATAGCCATCATCTAAGCTCATCTCATAACACTGTAGAATCTAGGCAAAACTGTGCCAGGTTCGTCCTGGTAAAGGTTGCTGTTGTACTGTAAGCAAGGCAGGTAGACCAGTAGGTGGCACTCTCTGAACTGGAGGACCAGACTATCAGAATCAAGATCCCAATGTGGTGATAGTGGATGCCGTACTGTATGACGTGCTGGCCTTTGAAGGAGACATTGAGACGAGACGGTGTTTCTGCTGTGAAGTGATATACTCTACAGTATATATGTATTGTACTGTAACTATGTGGGTGATAGACCTTGGTGGTGGAAACTCTCCTGTGGAGGACATTTGAAATCCTTTGGAGGATTATCCATTCATCCATTTTAAACCACATCATCCAATCCTATCTCGGCAAGCAACAGGCACAAGGCAGGGATACACACTGGATGGGACATCAGTCTATTGCAGGGCAGACACACAGGCAAAAACACACAAACACACCAGGGCGGGTTTTCCAAAAGCCAATCGACCTACTAGTATGTTTTTGCAATGTGGGAGGAGAACCAACACAAACACAGGGAGAACATCCAAACTCCACAGAGATAGTACCCCAGCTCCAGAATTTAACCCAGGGTCCCAGGCCTGTGAGGCAGGAATGCTCACCACTGCGCCACTATGAAAAGCTCAGTATCAATGCGATGTATTAATTAAGTACTATGCAGGTCTTGAGTTCACTGCCATTTTCTGCATTTTCCAAAGAAAGCGTACACTAAGATGAAGAAAATATAGTAAACGTAGTTTCTTAACCTCCACTGCTTTAGTTATTTTTGCTGTCCTTTTCATAGTATTTCCCCTCGGGCATGATTTGCTAACACATTATTAAACACTGTAGATAAAACCTAACTTATTTACTTTCTTCTGTACCAGAAGTAAATTTCTGCAGAATTAACATACTACACAACTCTTATTTTAATAATTCAATTTCAAACACTTAGTTTTCCTTTAATTGTTCCTAATTGCTGTCTGAATTTATCTATCAGTATGTTCCTCTAGGTTATAACTGGAATAAACTTACAGTGTGAGAGACTGCATTTTCATTTATTTATTCAAACGATTGCACATACTGTAGCACATTAGTTTCAGGTTCAAAGGCTTTCCAGGTGAGTTAAATTGACTATAGCAATGTCTGCTCCCACAAGAACATCAATACATAAAAATAGTACTGCAAAATTAGATTATTTCAAGTTACAGTATGTTTAGTAAAAACATCAAATACATTTTTTTCTGTATAAACATACATTTTGTACCTCAATTTAAAGAATAAAGCAGAATATAGAAAGCTATATATATTTACATATATACTGTATAGATACATACTGTATACAGTACTGTAGATACGGTACATATATTTATGTACTATGTATATAGTACATGCAGTACTCTTTTTAATTGAATCTAAATAATCAAAAATATTTTCACTACAGTTCTTCCATTACAGCACTGAATGAAATGTTTTCTTTTTATTGTACATATACCTCAAGAGAGCTTGATATACAATAATAATCCTCACACTCCCCTCAACACAGAAATCCAAACAAAAGTATGTTGAATCTATTGGGGCTGGTGCAGAGACACTTCCTTCTGCTACGTCTAGGAAATTTGGGAAGACAAGGTAATCAGAAAGGCAGATTAAACTTTTACCCCGGCTGTCCCTCAAAACAATTTAATTTATTGATTCTTTCAATTATTGAACTTAATAAGGTTATTTACATTTCCAGTGGGATAGCACTGGGATTGAGGGGTCTTTGTGACACTTTTCACTTTGTCTTTAACACTAAAATTGCCAGCATGGAGAAGAAAATGTTCAACTTTTCAGCTTTGGAGCTTTGCTCAGGAGAAGGTTGTCTTCACCTTTTCAAAAATGATATGCTTTTACAGTACCTCCATATCCCAAGACTGAGCTGTTCTACGTGCTTATTTATTACCCACACAGCTCCACACTCTAAAACCCCTCTCTTGTACAGATTCCTTAATCCTGTTTAGCAATTTTAAATCTTTAGCACTTAGTTTTTATCTTTTATTCTTAGTATAAACAAATTTAATTTTGACCCAACTCGGCTGCAAAACCAATTTATTTAGTAATGATTTTAATTGTGTTTTAGAGTGAGTAAAAGCCAGAAAAGTGTAATTGGTTATTTTGGCTTAATCATACAACAAGACAGCACTTCCAGTGGGGTAGTGAGTACCGGATACAAAATTTAAGATGTGTGCGACACTGACTTTTCCTATGTTCTTTAATTCTAATAATTGTCACCAACGAAAAAATAAATAAATGTCTAAAAAATTTTTTCATAAAATATCAAAATGATTTGCGGAATTGAATGAAAAAGCAATAGGAATTGTTATAGAGTGTAGCTGTTAAAATGTTGAGCATAATAAAAAGGAATAAATGCCCATGACTTTTAACCTGATGTGATACACTGTAAAGGAAGAGGAGAAATAAAACAAGCAGACAAGACATAAAACAGCCAGATCAAACTTGTAGGCAGAGCTAAAACAAAATTCACCTCAAACTTGAATGCTGCCTGGAATGAAATAGGCACAGCTGCCTGAACCCAGCCATTTCGCCTACAGTACATACTTTGCTTATAACGTAGCTTAGATTTGCACAGTTGCATTGAATCCACAGCATCATCTTTTACACTTTTACAACATAAGCTCACTTGCTGGAGAGAGAAAGAGAAAACAGTCTTATCTACGTACAGATTCTCCCCCATTCAATCCACACTAAAGCACTTAGAGTACAGCACTGGAAAGGGAGAGCGCCCTGAGCTCAAAAGGCAGCCAGGGAAAAATACAAGAAAAAAGCATATTAAAATAAAATTAAAGAGATTTTCAAACATTATTCCATTTCTGCCTAATGTAAAGTACAGCAGATTGAAATTAAGTACAGTAGATGTTTTTTTAATGTGGTGCAGATCAATAAATTATCAACAAAATCCATCAATGGCCAATGCACGTTCACAATAGACCTTTCTTTTTTCTATTGTCTTCTTGAAGGCACTGTTAGTAGAAAAAAGAACAATTATTTGAATGCCTATTAGTGTTCTTGAGATCACCTAGAGCATTTTTGCACTATAACTGGTGTGTACAAGGCTTGCTTCAAGGCAAGATCTTTGAAAAATTCCGGACTGTCAAAAAGATGCACATATCATTGAATCTTAAAATGTTTTGTACAGCTTTGCCCTTGAAACAATCGCTCTTGTCCAAGTATTTGAAGAATGTTTATCAAGACAGAATATGTCACATACAATTTTTTATTCAGAACACTACCTCAAAAGCGAAAATGCTTGAACACTTACAGTACATGGCCTCTATGTATACTTGAAAACTGATATACATTGAGAGGCTTCACAAATGCAACAATTGTTACTTGTTTAAGTGTGAATTTATCCATTTTTAATTCCTCTAAATGTCCAGGGATATCTTTGTTCCAGGGAACAAATGCCCTTTTATTCCCGATTCTTAGTATTGGACATCTGTTGACTGTCAAGATTTCTTACTAAGGTAGCAAATTCATGAAAAGTTAGGATGATGTTAAAGTCCAAAAACATTTTTTATTCAGTAAAAGCAGGAAAAAAAAGAGTAATGGCTGATTACTGTCTAATTTTTAAGGCACAACTTGATCTTATATTATTGATTTTTCTTCAGAATATTGTTCTTTTTATCCTGCAATTTCTGCCTCTGAACTTTTCTGCCTTCCTCTTATCCTACATTTTCATTTTGAATGTATAAAAGCCAAGGTATGGAAACCTGAAGTGAAGACAAATCCAGAATTTTTCATATGTGTGTCTAATGTGTTTATTTCCCGCCCTTTCAGCCCAGTATTTTGCCAGCACAATGATGATTGTGGGCCTGTCTGTTGTAGTCACAGTGCTTGTCCTTCAGTTTCATCACCATGACCCCCATGGAGGAAAAATGCCAAAGTGGGTGAGTAGAACTCCATCTGTTCAGTTACTTTGAGTCTCAGGAGAAGACTATGTAAAATAATCCACTTACAAACAGCTGTACTAAGGTGTGCCAGTATTAAGGCATAATTTATCCCTTTAAGAGGTTGCAAATATCCTCATTTGATAAGATAATCACATATATCAAGTGTTTTTGTGAAGTGACATCTCTCAGGATCATGAAATAAGTTCAAGGGATAGTTTTGAAAAACCAATACATTGTAAATCAGCCATAAACACACAGCTCTGTTATATTGATTAAGAAGCATAATTGATCATGTAATTAGGGAGGGTGTAGGGATGTTCAGTTCCCATACAGTACTGTATGTGAAACTCCTCCATAGCTGTGGGCTTTAATTTGTAGACTATAGATGAGAGCCAAAAGCAACCAGGACGTGTTGAGTCAGCACCATGCTGAGAGGAGTTCAGACACATACATACAGTACAGTACCGTAAGTCCTATAAGCACAGGGTAGCCATGTTACGAACCCTGGCTCCCGGCAACGGAGGAGGCAGAAGTAGGCGTAGCCCTTATCTATCAGTTCACCTATCAGTTTTCCCATTCACCACCACACCCCCGTCTCATCCTACTTAAACACCTGTCCTTCCCTAACTTGTTGCTCAGTATTGGTTTTCCTTATCGAGCTTCCTGGTTGCGCTTCTTCTACTCTGTGTTTGTCTTGGATTTCGGCTTTCGGTTTTTCCCCTGGACTCTCGGCTTGTTCCTACGATTACGGTTTGCTTTCGGATTACGACTTGGCTTTGTTCGCTCCTGCAAGTGGGTTCACTCACTCGTTCGGTCCCTGTTACCGAACTTGTAACAGCCATATGCGCATATGTACAGTACCAGTAGGTTAAAACATTCACATCAGCTGAGAAAATGTTTTATCGAACAAAATGGGTTTACGATTCCTGAAGTACTCCTTTAAGACTACTGTATGTCCGTATCACTCTATCCAGTGAAGATATATTATTGAACAACCTCCACTCTTTCACAGTCCTGTCTCTCCTGGGTTGGCAGTCGTTTACAGTAACCCAGCCAGTAAGACTTCCTTCTACTTGTGTGTCAGCTTGCATAGACTTGCAATATCTATGTTCACTATCTGTTCAAAATAAATGGTTCCCGTTTTGACCATTTGATAAAATCTGTCAATGTCCTCTGGTTTAAACCTGTGACAATCTTCCCATCACAGGGCAGGAATAGACAGAAACACATACAGACACTCACACTGGAGACAGTTGTCCCAGAAACCAATTAACATACAGTACCCATATGACTTTGGAGTGTGGGAAGAAAGCAGAGCACTCATAGGAAACTTACACAGGGAAACATACAAACTCCATGCAGATAGCAGACAGATATTTTTTGCTCCATTAATCTAGCACATTTTATGATTCTGAATTGGTTATCATCAACATTATTGAGTCATTTTTGGAATAAAAATCTGTCTTTTTATGAAAGAAAAATAAACACTTTATCCTGCTGTCATCCTGCAGTTCAGCAGCTGTTGTCCTGAAGGAAAAGGTTTCATAGGCAACTGATCAAATCATTGCAGAAAGACAGGATATCTCTGAGCTCTGAAAAAAATAATGAATAAGAACATATTCTGGATTTGATGGCACTACAGATTTTAAATATTTACTGTAAAATATACATTTATTTTACATAAGTCAACATTGACTTTATTTTACATACCTAAATTATAAAAATGACACCCACAAAAAGAGCTTTCATTGTAAATGAATGTTTTTTTTCCCCAAAAAACCAAATGTATCTAGATTTTGTATGCTTATGTTCTAGCACAGTGTGGTTCTGGTCATAGACTGATAGGGCTACATTTTCACACACAGTAGTGAAGAATTAATATTTTTTTATGATTGCCCTAGAAAATAAACAAATTCCAAATTTAAGATGCTTTTCTCAAGGACATAACAATGATGTAATATGTACTATAGCTTTCTTATGGCTGGGATACCATGGAATATAAAAGGTAGGCAATTTGACAAGACGCTGCAAAAGAAATGAAACTGCAGAAGAGCGTACACTTTTTATTCAAAATGGCTGAATACTTGATTGATTAAAAAGATATTCCTTTGTTTATATTCTATACATTTACAAAACAGCAGACAGAAAATAATGAAAATCACCCCATCATATTTAATGCATCTTTAAAGCTGACGTGATTGTAGACTGTTATTTAAAAGAAATACAAGGCCAACCCTAAAACAGAAAATTAATCTGTAACCCTTGCATTTTCCTTTTTATTAGTTGCATTTTTAAATCAATTGTTTGGTATATTATTATATTGCTATAATATTCTATAATACTGGTATTACTGTATTCTTTAGTATTGGTAGATTATTTGATATATTATAAAAACAATTTCTGTAATGGTAGATTTATTACTACTGGAAACCCACTTAAGCTTTGAATCACTTTCTAAAGTGATTTGGAAACTTTTGAACAAAGACATGGTTTGAAAGTCCTTTTTGTAGTAATCACCTTGGTGATGGTACAGTAATTTAAAGTGCAAGAAAAGCACGGCTCCCCTGAACCTAGACTGTGCAGAACCCCAACTGTTTTCCTGAGATGCAGGATGAAATTGATTTTCTGACCCAAATTGAGATTAAAATTGGTATGCTGTACATTCATACTGGGCCCTCCTGTCTAACCTTGAACTGATCTTGTCTGATTTTGGTGACATGTGTCAATCCCGCTGTTTTCATTAATAACATGTTAATAAACAGTGTAATACAGAGTGCTCACCAGATTTTACCTCCAAAAGTTAACGTGTGATAAAACCAGACATCAGTTCTGTTTTCCACTTCTATTTTGAGGAAGACTCAATAAGATTACACTGCTTTGTAAATGCTGAGTGTTTGCTGTCACACTTACTACTTACTAATCAATCACTTAGAAAATAACAGGAATTAAATTCGAATCTACAGTATGAGTTAAACAGCTGGGAATGTTGATTGTGATACTGTATGTGCAGCAATCAAATAATATATTTACAAGGAAAAAGAACAACGTGTTTCTTTTATCCTTTTGAATGAAGGATTAAGGAAATCTATGGAATATAGCTAATAATTTCTGTGCATAATTATCAGCTAACATTTTCTTGTGACACTGGCAGTATAGTAATTACTATGAATTTCATGGATTTGGTATAATTAACCACACTGCTGGGTATAGCCCTATTTCTAATATCATCACCCTGGTGTGTAAAGTTGGTAGAAATGTACTCAAAAAGATTCACTGCAGTAATTGCTGCCCACGATGCTTCTACCACATTTTGTTATTTTTCTTGGTCTATTTTGCTAAAAGTGTTTGGCTAAAAACATTTAAGTGTTCAGTCCAAGCATTTAGGTTTTGATATTTTTAAAGAATGTGTATACATCATTGGTAATTCAAGACATACTGTGGGGACATCATTGGAAGAAGACAAGCACACTTGCAAACAAATAGGAGTAAGGTTTTAGCTGTACTAGATACAGCTGCACTACCAAAAAAAAACCACAAACTATTTGGTCTGAGTATCTTGAAAAAATAACATTGATGTAAACTCTTCTGGGAGAGTTAAGGCACAGAACACCTTGATAAGAGCTTTCAGATTTCATCAGTTTTCAAGCACAGTTCTTGATTATCTTAAAAGTAAACACTGTAGAGGTTCTTTATTATTTTCCTTAGTATTACAGTAGTTTCCCTGTCGTAGGACATACAGTATATATAAATATAGTATATTTAACTTAAGCTTGTCCTCCTCACTTAATTTCCATTCAGAAAATATCAAGAATCTTCTAAGCTACGTTGTTCAAAAACTCAACGTCGCTCCTGCAGTTTTTCCCCTTTTTTTGGGTCGCCCTTCACAGATACGAGTCGTGCTGCTCAACTGGTGTGCCTGGTTCCTGCGAATGAAGAAGCCCGGCGAAGACCGGAAGCTCCTGGCTTACAAGTTCGCTCGCCCCCAGCACCACTGCAGCACCAGCAGCATTGAGATGAATGCCGTTCCAGGGCAGCAGTCCAGCAATGGGAACATGAACATCTACTTTGGTTACCACGCCATGGAGAACCCCTGCTGCCCTCCCAGCAGCGACTCTGGGGTCGTGTGTGGAAGGACGACCAGCTCGCCCACGGATGACACCGAAACCCTACACACCAAAGCGCTGTCGGAGCACATCCCCGAAATCGTCAAAATCCTGGAGGAGGTGCAGTACATTGCCAGGCGCTTCAGAGACCAGGACGAGGGTGAGGCCATCTGCAGTGAATGGAAGTTCGCGGCGGCGGTGGTCGACAGGTTGTGCCTGGTGGCCTTCTCCCTGTTCTCCATCATCTGCACCTTCACGATACTGATGTCCGCCCCCAATTTCATAGAAGCCGTTTCGAAGGACTTCACATAAAAATAACGCACGGCGCCGCAGCATTTGCCAGAAAAAGTAAACTTCAAATTTAAATCAAGCATAAAACCAATTCAATATAACATTTTAAGTGTAAATATGCATCACATAAACTACTGAAGCCCCGCCAGCTTCACTGTGAAATCGCTGCTGTTATATTTTTTAAAAGGTCCGCACATTTTCACATTCACTAATTCACTTCATAATTAAGATAATAATTCACTTCTACCACAAAACTGAAAAAATAAAAACATGTTCTGTTACTTTGGCCCTTGTTGTTAAGGACAGGGAGCCTATCACAAGCAGTAAGTTAATATGTGGTGAAGCCAAAGTCCATCTATATGCCACTTTATATTAAATTTTTTGAATAAAAGAACAAAATAGGAATGTCACACTAGAAGACAACACCCCTTAATTCCAACCCAGCCATCAGTGCTACCCCCTCCAGGTTTCCCCTAAAAAAACCTGTAAGCAGAACTTCATGTCTCCACACCCTGCCGTCTCATATCGGAGTCCTATAGAATCCGAATATCGGGAAGGGAAATTGGAGGCTAAGAACTTGAGACTCCTGCTTGTATAAGTGATAGGACAGTGTTCTCAGTGGAAGTAAAGAGGTTGAGGTGTGTTTTGCGTACGAGAAGGACTCAAGATTAATAAACCACTCATGGCCTGATGGCATCTCAAGGAAACATGAGATTTGATTCAGAGACAATTGACACTACTCTGATAACAGTAACTGAAGACAAGGGTAGTATCCATGGACTAGGGAATAGCTAATCTTGTGTCCATCCACAAAAAGGGTAACAAAATCGACCCAAGTAAATACAGACCAATTACTCTGACTTCTGTTACTTCTTACTTCTGTCTTACAATGTAAGGTTATGGAAACTATCTATGGAATGAAAGTAGATTAGAGGATCACATATACGGAGAGTAGATAGTGAGAAATAGTCAGCTTGGATTTAGTTTGTACCTAAACAATTTTTAGAGGTCTTTGAACAAGCCACCACTGTAATGAATACAAAAAGAGCATATGATATGGTATTTTAAATGTTCAGGAGACATCTTTTTAAATCCCTCAGTATAGATTAATTCTCAAATTATAGGTGGTGGGCACTCTGGGAAACATGAATGTTTGGATTGAGAATTGGTTACTAAATAGAACGTTGTATAAATAAGAGGTGAATAAGCCAACTGGGGTAATGTAATGGGAGGTGTGCCACATGGATCTGTTAGGTCTTTGTCATTTGTCAATCTTCTTAATTTATATAAGTGATCTACTGTACATTCTAGTCATTATTAGGAAATTTGTCAATTTGTCAATCAGTTGCCAACAATGTAGAAGTGGCAAATTACATACAAATAGATTAAGAAAGAAAAAGATTGGGGAAAACACCTGGCATTCTAAATTTAATATAGAAAAGTACAGGACGTGGTATAGGGCTTAGTATTCTGGAAGAAAAAACATTAAACTATAAATATTTATAGAATATTTAGAAGTGGTAGAATTTAAATCAAGAGGTGTTATGTTGAAATTATGTAACACAATAGTAAGGCCTCGTTTAAAATAATGTGTGCAATTTTGTTACCACATAAAAGAAAATATATCCTGCTCTGGAATTAGTCCAGAGAGAAGCAACTAGATATAATCAGGGGCTTTAGGGTATGTCATACACTGACAGGCTAAAGGATCTTTACCTTGTTAGTCTTGAACAGAGATGTGTACATTTGCAAAGGGGCCTGATGCAAGCATTCACAATCGTCAAAAGCACTGACAAAGTCAACCCAACAGACATCTTCAGAATAAACAGAAAAAAAAAAACAGAAGGCACAAGTTTAAACTATGTTGAAAGGCATTTCAAACTAAGATCAGGAAGGCCGTGGGACCAAGCTACTGTACCTAGCCCTTTTGTTGAAGGCTAGATGAATTGTGTGGCCCCTTCTAATTTGTATCCTTACTTAGATTTTTCTTAACACATTACCCCCAATTTTTTAATTACCGAGAGGCCAACCAAAACTATGACCTGCATCCTGTGTGAGGTCAGGATAAAGGAATCCAAATCCCTTTGTTTTACTCTGAAACTAACAGATTATGCAGTTGTTACAAAGACAACCTCAACTTCCATGGGAACACACAGGCAGGTGTTACAGAATGGAGACTCAAGTAAAAAAAGTCAGGTCTCTTGAAATGAGATCAAAGGACTCGTTCATGGAATGGACTTTGACTCTACATTACACATATTTGCTAGTTTTATTTCTCAAAATTTGAACAAGTTAAATCTTGAAGTCTGTATGGAGAGACCAGACTTTCTTCAAGTCATTTTATTTATTTTGCACAATTAAATACAGTATGAGCAATTGATTTATTTGCAAGGCGAAACCTCTGGTTGGGAGCACACCAAGAAAGTATCTCCCCCATATTTTCATACTTTCACATTTAATTACTTTTAGGGAACTAGTATTTAATTCACTTTATTTGTGCGCATGGGTCAGCAACTTATCTACCATATAAAGTTTATAGAGTTGTACTATTACCTTTACATTAAATTACCATATAACATTAAAAATGCTTCAGATGTAAAACATACAGTATTTGTGCCAAAAAGATACAAGAATGGATTACACATTATTTTTCTCAATGTTCCCATATTCACCCTAAATAATTCAGAGCAAATTTTATTTTCTGTTTTCTACATGAATACACAATTATGGTTAGTACTAGTAGCCATTCTTGTGAGCAAATAGAGAACAAAATCATGAATCAGCAAATGTTCCATGGCAGATGAAAGAATCCTAAGTATGTGTATTTTAAAAAGTGCTGTGTATATAGGTCACTCGTCTGAAACACTTTGATATATTAATTTTTTAAAACATAATTGAAACAGGGGTTAAACAGAACTTACTGAATGACAATCAGCAGTTTACATTTAGTTTAATACATTTAAAACAGCAAGGAGCATATTTTAAGTTTACAGCTATTTTATTTTAAAATCTTATTTTTAAATGAATGAATACTACTGTTTAAGATAAAGCTGAAATGGTAAAGTTAAGGATAATTGCAACTTGTTCAAAACAGCTTAGTACATTAAATTAATATAAAGATAAAATGCATAAATGCTTATAAAGTTTGTAATAGACATATCAGCAAATAGCAAATCTACACACTGCCATACATTTCAAAATATTTTTATAAAAATTCAAATGAGCTTTTACATAAATTCTGATTATTATTTTACAGAATAATATTATTTTTGTTTGGAGAAATTCCCTGGAGATTTCATCTAGGCCTGGTCATACAGTAAGAGGAGACCAAATATAATTTAAAAGAGGAACAAAAATATCATCATGAATAGTCAAATGTCTGCATTTAAGTGGTACCCTAAACCTTCTTAACAGGGTGTCACAGCTGTACCCAACATGCCAAACAACACAAGAACAGGATGCCTCCTACCCAGAAAAATAACAAAGGAGAGGGAGCCTCAACTAGGACCACAACACCTCACAGGCCCCTCCTGTTGTCACTGTTGTGACTCTTACTGTTATGATATGCAGACTAAACACTGATATTCCCGACCTTTAAATCTCAGAACCGCAGTAACTAATAATATATTTTTTAAAATAATCATATTTATAAGAAAAATCATTCCCATTCTTCCAGATGACTTGAACAATTCCTAACAGAATAATTTAAGAGTATGCGTTCTCACAGAATATAAAAAAGAATAAATACATAATTAAGGAGTATCAAAGTAAATACGAAGGTGGTCACTAATCCTTTCAGATTAAATAAAAAATGCATGTCAACGTCTCAATTTACGTTAATAATATAGAACAAAAACAAGAGAACACCACCTTATGCAACTACAGTAAGAGGGAATTTCAACAAGGGAATGTAACAGCACAAAAACCCAGAAATAATTAGCCAAAGTCCAATATTATCTATGTGCATAATTACAATAAAAAACTGCAAAGAATATTAGTGTTTTTGTGAAGAAATATGTCTGATTTGACAAAGCAAGCCCTTCATGTCTGATTAACTACTCTGTTAACTGCTCCAAGATAAACATGCTATCTGCCAGCATGGAGAGCTTTCAGCACCACTGGGTATAAGAAGCAAGACTAGATGCCAGCTACCATTAGTTAGTTCCTTCTTCCTATAAAGGAACATTTCTGTTCTGCAGTGTCTGGGATACAGTATCTAGGTAAAATTAAAGCTTGGAGCCCCCAGCCAAATGAAAAGGGTTGGATTGCCTGCTTTCTTTCAAAAGACACTATCCATCACAATAGAAGATTGACAACAAGAACTCTAGGCTTGTTGTGGCCTCCAGAAGAGCAATTTTTCAAGTGCCAGATTTGGAAGCAACATTGGAATTGCTTTTTTCATTGATCTGACTTTAGATTTAATTCACTTTCTTCTTACACTAATACCACTGTGTTTAAGTGAGTGGCACTCCAGACTTTCCAGCTTCACTCCATGGCTGTTCAATACCTTCTGTTGTTACTTTCATTCACCCAAGACCGAGCTCACCTTGGAAATCAAGTGTTGAATAGTCGAGATCTAAGAACATCTAAGTTCACACCTACAGTACCACAACAATTTAATAACACGATGCTGCCATCTCAGTTTTTATAAGCCGTTGACAAGCTCGGGAAAGTTCAAGAGAGCTTATTATTAGTTTATGAGAATAATTCTTTCTGCTTTTTCACAATTAGGGAAATTGGACTTTTTATGTGCCCCTGAACATATCGGAGGGATTCAAAATCCCAACGCACCAACATATAGTAACAGGCAAAACGATGTGGCAGCAAGAGCTCTAACTCCTGGTTACCATCCTCGCATATTGGTCACATAATCCCCTACATATGCAAATACAGTTGCTTTGAAGAAATAATTTTTTACATTTTTTAATCTCTGTTAACTCTTTGCTGTGGGCATACACTGTCAGCATCATCACTTATATCAAATTCAGATCTTGGTTGTTTTAGGTTTAAAATGTCTTTTTCAGATACATGAAAAGAATGTTTTTATGAAGCCGACATTCACCATATTTTGTTGCCCATACTGTATATGGCTCTTTCATTATCGGCTTCCATTCTCACCATTCTCCCTGAATCACCTTCATTTATTACTTTACATGAATTGTAACAATGATAAGTCAAGTAAAACCCCAAGTTGGAAATTCTGCATCAAAGACTGAAAGTCCTGTGGAATATTAAATAGGAATGTTTTCATTTCAATGAATGAAAGAAGCAATGACTTGTAACTGATTCGACGAAAAACATAATGCGTTTCAATGACGACTTCACTTTTAAAAATTGATTTACTAAATAAGTAAAAAATAATAGTCTAAAAAGACAGCAGAAGGTAGACAAGTAGTTCTGTTTGAAGAAATGCTGTATCGATGGCTTTGTACAGAAATCTTTTAAAGTAACAAGTAACACAGCCCAGTATAAACCTGCTGACTGGCATCATAAAGGTTTGAGACAGTGAGTTGCTGTTTATCAATCAAAAAAAGACTGTTTTCTGAGGCTGAGACGAGCACAACTGTTCGTGTGCTTTGCTTCAGGCCACGGCTGCAGCTGAGGAATTAGAGATTGGCCATGTCAAGCATCAACAGGGAATCAGTATCTTCACAGAATTGACAGATGGTCCCCACACCATGAGAAGTGACTGTGATTAATAAGGGGCATCGTTTGATAAACACTTTTTCAGACACTCGAAGAGGCCATTCAGGAATAAATAATGTGATATTCTTAATGTATTCTTCTATTTGCGATTTTTAATCTTTAAGAGGACAGTATGGATTATTTAAAGCACTGATTCTTTTTTCAGTTGAAAGTCTGTTGGGAGAATAGCATTAGAATCCACATCTCAAATGCTTCATTTATTTTACAAAACATTCCGTCTGCTGTAGATTTTCTTTTCATTTCTCCAAAATTTTCTCTGGGTTCATAATTTTTTTGGGGTCTTCATATTTATATAAAATATAATATATTGTCATGATATCTTGACAACAAAAAGTTTCTAAAATAATGAAGAATTACTGTACATTCAGCTGTGCCTTAAAAGGGATAGGGGGTGGAAAGATAAAGATAATATTAGTTTCCAAATGTTAGCACTTTTGACAGAATCAGCTAATCAATGATTTTATTATTGCTGTATGTATTCAAAACTAAACACATCTACATGTATAATACTTAGGAATCATAGCAATATTGTTCACAAATTTTTTAAATATACAAGCTTTAATTTACCTTTTCATTACTTTATATTTTAGCAAGCAAATGTGCATTGACACCCTTACAAGCTGGTTCATGTGTTTTATCTACCAAATAGTTTTGCCTTTCCTCTTTTACAGTGAGGGCTGGCTAACCAGTGGACAAAAATGACAGGGTCTCCCAAGTAGCTCAACCGATAAATATGCTTATACAGTACTTAGAACAGGTTGATCGCTGATGCCTGAGTTATACCATGAAGCATTTGGGATTCACCAAGGTTAGAGTAGATTAGTTAGCTAGGGCTCTCTCTGCTCATTATGAAACAGTGGCCCCTCCAACTTTCCAAGCTTTCATGCAAGCCCATAGTGAAATCAATGAGGGAAATGCCCAGATCATCATTGACCCAACTGTACTACACTGCACAGGCTTGCATGGGACAGCATTTCATAGCAGGTAAGTCTTAAATAACTAGTGGATTGTAGGTTCAACTCCCCACTATAGATACTGTTGAACCTTGGTTGAGCTACATTATCCCATTTGCTCCAAGGCACTGAATTGGATTGGTATCCCAACTAGAGGTGATGTCAAGTGCCCTCTGATCGCTTCACACCTTGAAACTAGGATAAACTCAAGCACTATGTAAAATTTTGTGGAGTTTGAATGGAATAACCTACCGACAAAATATTAAAAATGACACGTCTCAATTTAAGGAAAATGGCCTTCATTTTTTCATGTGTTTTTTGCCTGCTTTAGAATGATGCGGCCTGACTGGAACTTAAGTTACACAAAGTTGAGGTGATTGAATCACATATGTCTACACACAGGAGAGCAGAGTCCAGCACTGGTCCAATGATTAGAAGGCACTTGACCCCGAAGAACCTGTCATTAGAACAGGGGGATTATGTGTTGTGTGACAGTTTGCACAAAGTTCTTTAATGAAATTTGCAAATGAAAAAAACATGGAGGTGGAGTCAAACTCTGGTATGGACTAGAAAACTAATTTTCTCACTTTTCAGCACTAATTCTCCTCATTCAGATCTCTCTAAACCCTGTGCAAAGACTCAATATGGTAAAAGAACACCTGTGCATGATGAACAGCTGAAATATTGCTTGGGAGTTACTATATTTAAAATAGGCTCAAGGTAGAAAGTAATCATTACAAAGTTACTGTATATTTGAAGAAGCTGGATGCCACTGAAAGAAGAGGCCAGCCAATCGCAGTCTTATATTGAGACTTCATATCCCTTCATATACAATTGTCTTCATTCTTAAAAAAATAAGCCGTTTTAATCTAAAATCCATAAATAAGACATCTTCTTTATTTTTCACATTCTCATAATTTCATCATGTGTCTAAAGGCAACAAATCTCTTACTAATCCCTTAAGACGTGCAACACAATTCATACAGTATTGGGCACAATTGCTATGTATGTCATTCTGATGTCCAGCCTCATTGCAAAATTACTTTTTGTTATCACTCCAGTATATCACTCCAGTAAGATTTAACAGTCACTTGTATATAGGAACAGCAAATACTGTCTCTAGTGCAAAGGCGAGCAAGTACATTCACAATTAATGTTATTAAAACATTGGCTGTCCTGATAGTTCAGCTGGTGTTTTCTGTATAATACTTACAGTAAAAATGTATGTCAGATCCAAAACCACTTACACTTTAAGTATCTACTGTATGTGAATAATCTAACCATATTTGTGGTTCTCCACGTAAACAAACTTATTTCATGTCTTAAAGAATCCAGAGTAACAACAAAGACTTCAGACATTTTAATATTAATATTTCTGGTGATTGTATGTACTGTAATCTTGGAACTTACATGTACTGTATTTGCTTATATTGTCCCATACAAAGTTATATTGTCACTGTGAAACTAAAGCTTTTATTTCATGAATACCTGAGAATCCACCTTCAACTTGTGCTGACTTATACAATGTTTTCAATCTTCTTCTGTCTGTTATTGCGTTGTTAACTTCGGAAGATGTGACAAATGTTCTTAAATTAGTCTCAGGTTAGTTTACTCTACTAGAGTTCTCCTACTAGAGTGATGGATACCTATTTTAGGCAATGGCACCTTTTCTGTGTATTATTTGTAGACTATAATCACATCTTAATTGGACATTGTGTTTTTAAAGATTGTTTTGATTGCACAACAGTGAAAGATTTGAAACAGTATTGACATTTTAATCACTGAATTATAGAGCTGTAACATTTTTTCCTGTAGATACCAATAATTCATGTTTGTGTGTCCTGGAATGACAAATATGCTGCCCATTTCACATCCACTGTCATTTCTTTTAGTCACAACTCTGCATGTCGAAATGTACATCTGAAGTGCACTGTCATAATAAATAGATGTCTTTTTTTGGTGACTAAAAAAGAATAGAATATGGAAGAAAGAGACTTTTGTTTAAGCTTGGCTTGAGACAAGTTTCACAAAAATCCACAGCTTGGCTTATGGGTTAGTGTATTATAATTGGAGTTTCTGAAAAGTGCCAGAGAGCCTTGCGTATCATCACCTCATATCTCTCCATCATCACTCCTGCAACAGCTCCCTGGCTCATTCCTCATTAAGAGGGTAAGATTCCAACAGACTTTCCCTCAGCCAGGTGGGTTAAGTCAACACATCAAACGAATTTGAATTATGTTTTCACTCCATCTTGAACTACTGAAATACATTAACTGACTAACCAACCCATGAAGGTGAAAGAGTAATGTTTTTTATGGTTAATTCTTGAGCTTTTATGGACATATGCGAAACTCACCAGGTTGCATGAATGGAGGGTTATTAGATTAGTCTGTTCAATGGCCATCAGATTTTTTCAGCGGCCATCAGATTTGCTCTATAGCTGCTGATTGTAAGTTTGAAAATTTCAGCACTGCCTGCAGCGTGCTTAGAAAAAGAAGTAAAAGGTCTTGTGATGTTTGTCCAAAGGTCTTGATCATAACTATACAGTACATAGCATGACAATAAAGTTACTTCATGTTTTGCATTACTTGCCCCCATGCATACCCTCAAACCATAAGGCATAACATAGTTACAACAATTATGTCCAAACATGGGACAATGCCACATGCATTCTCAGAATTCACTGTTTATCAGAAAACAAAGGAGCAAATTTGGCTGCATATATTAGATGAAATATCCTGTTGCTCCAGACCCTAAATTAAATGTTAACCCTGACTTGCAACTTAAGGTGGGCTGGCCTTGAACTGATGAATGTCAGAGATTACTCTGTCCCATGTAGTGTACAAGAGCATGAGAAAGGCTGTAGACAAGAGGAGGTCATTCAGCTCATCAAGCTCACCTGGTTCTATTTCCCTGGTTCTCCCATAGCAATAGTTTCACAAATAGGAGCTATCTAATATAATAAATAGCAAATATAAGGGTTATTGCCAAAAATTGTTTGATAACTTAAAAGCTTTCAGGTGAACCTGTATTTTCTGGGCCTGGCAAACAAATCCAGTTAACTTTCAGTGTCAAGACAAAACATGATTTTGTTCATTTCCTCCCTTTTCAAAATCGAACAGTCTGGGCAAACTACATCTCTTGAAACATTTTTACATATGTAGCTTGCTAGATTTTAAAGCATTAACAGTATATTGCCCACATTTTTGTAAGGCAGCACATCTAAACCCTGAAGAAAAAGATGTCTCAATTTTGTGGAGCAGAATATGAACAAACACCACATGAAAATGTACAGTACATAATGTGTACTTTTCACTCATTTGAGAACTGCAAAGTAATATTATGATTCAAGAAAAAACATTCTCAACAAGGTGAAAGGCTTTTAAACATAAAAAGCAAAAGCAAAGATAATGCATTATACTACTTTATATTACCAAAACTTGAAAAAGGTTTCCATTGTCAAAAATAACTTTTTGTTAGTGGTCTCATTTTGCACACCTTTTACTCTGCATGTGTATTATCTTTGGTCCAGGACATGTAATACATATAAAAAAACAGTTACATACGCAAAGCTGCATTCTGTTCTGAAAGTGAAAAGTTTCATGAAAGCGAAAAATGCATTGTTATATTTTTCTTGATGCATCATTTTTGTGAGAACTACAGTACTGAAAATTATATTATTATATTATTGATGTTGATGTCACTGTTGATACTGTTGTTTTATCACTATTAATGGAATATCACAGTTTTTGAGTTAACGTATTATGATTTCTGTGTGTGATTTCTCTGTGACCTTTTCCTCTCTTTTGTAAAGTTTGCTTTTGTCAAAACCTTTCCTTTAATATGTATAGTAGTTCTGATAACCAACTATGTCTATTGGGGAAATATATATATGAAATATGGGCACTGTTTGTTGGCTATTTTTTCACAAATTTACAGTGCATTGCAATTCAAACATAAATGACCCATCATTAAAATAATATCTGCTGCAAATAACATGGCCACATAACCCCTAATGGATAGTTTTATCTTAGGTACTATAGTGGTATTACATACTGTACAGACCTGGTTTGTGATCTTACTGTATGTACGTACAGCATAGTGTATTCTGCAGTCGAACAAGTATTAGGCTTATTCCACGCTGAAAAGAGAAGAAAGAAAACACACAGGTGTCACATTTGAAAACACACAGCCGAAACATGACGTTTTCTTTCTTCTCTTTTCAGCGTGGAATAAACCTTTACTTGTTCCTTTTCAAAAGTGTTTGTTCTCACAGTGAGCTGGCTAACTTATGTGTTCCACGCGCTTGGGCGACCTAAGTGACAATCACTAACATTTAAGAATAAATAATAAATAGAATATTTAAAACTTGGAAACATCCAAAGATAAATTGTTCAATATGAATGCTAAAATGAGAGGGCAGGGCAATGTCTATTAACCTTGAACTACTGTAAAATGAATAAAAGCAAAAATCAAAAGCCACAGGAGAGAAAGACACCCCCCTTCAAAATTGTGATTGATTAAAACAGCACATAAATTGTGTGGGGACATAATGAAAGACCCAGTTTCAATGCCTGGATTTTAATTGTTTGGGATGATTACAGTGCTGCTGTATGCTGGCTGACCTTGAACTTGGCAATCTATGTACTTCTCTCATCTCTCAAAATGATCCTTACACTCCTGTTCGCTCTCTGTTGGTTTAATGGACGTTTTCCCTCTGTGTAATTTTAGCCTTTCATTTGTTACATTGGAATTCAGACACATTATCCCATCGTAACTGGTCTTTTTTTGCATGTCTGGGTGAAGAACTCATCACAGATGGCCCCAATTAATGAGAAAAATGGTCCTCCTTCTGTAAACTGTTGTAAAAAGCAATGAATCCTCAAATCTTGCTTCCAAGCACTTAATTATGAAAAGAGAAATGCATGCAATTCATACATTTTATTACAGAGACTAAAAACTGGGGTTATAAATTAACCAGGCTGTGTTTAATGAAATGGTTTCACAAAATACTGCATTAAAAATATAATTTTGTAACTTTACCTCTAGCGCATGGTGTTTTCAAAGCATTTTTTATTAAAAGAAAATATTGCACTATCAAACTAAAGTGTAATAAATATTATTTGACTTTAAATGTGCCCTAAAGCGAAGCTTTTACTGTCAGATCTTGAAAATAATATACATTATTGAATCTGAACCTACAGTATCCTATACACACACAGACCACCAAACGCTGTTTTAAATCCTTAAAAAGTCATATTGCGTCAAAGTACATTCATGATAAGCTTCACTGCTCTTGCCTCGGTAAACAATCTTGGAAATAAGGCCTTAGCTCTCTGATACCATTATCCCAGCCTTGAAATAATTGATTACAAAGAAGAACAGGCCTTCCTCCTGAGTATTACGGAGGGGTATCTAATTAATTTCACTGGCAAAATATTTACATTGTGATAGGAGTAGGAATGAGCAATATCTCAGCAAAAATGAGCAATGGTTGATCAAAACAAGCACGACCCCTGTCAGCCACAGCTCCATCCAGGGTAGCAGGAGTCAAGATGCTAACAGCCAGACATAAATAATGGATTAAATTCTTTTTCTGAGGCTATGCGCCCTCTTAGCACAATGCATTAGAGTGTGAGAGAGTAGCTGTTCCAGGAGGGAAAACTGCATAATCTCGCTCTGGGATATTAAATAAAGCATAAAAAGCATAATTTCAAATTTTACATTGAGCACAATTCACTGCTCTTGTCAGTCCACTTTCTTTCACGAAAGCTTAAACTATAAAATAAACTATTATAAAATATCCCTTTACATCACCAGTTTACTTAGAATTCCAAGGCATTTCCTATAACTGCAACTTTGCTTTTTTCTGCTTTCATGCAGCTCTGCCCAAAACAAATCTTATATTAAATCGGAAATATTCTGAAAGGCAGCATATGATGTCATGAAACACTTGTAACCCCCTAAATAGTGGAAAATGTCATATAGATCTCTATGAAAGGTTGTGTAATGTAGATACAAAAACAAAATTAAATAGCTAAAATGTAAAAAATAACATTTAAAAATGTAATCTGCAAATTGAGAAAAGGGTATTCATGGATTCCCTCAAAATAAGAGAATAAATGTCCTAATCAACTGTTTGCAGTTGCAAAAGTTGCAGTTGTTGGTTGGAGTCATACTGTAATTCTATAAAGATTCTTTAAAGCCCTTTTTATTCTTTGCACTCAACATAAGCTGAAAAAATTTGAGTGTGACAGAGGAGCCGGTCACGAGGTGCAGATAGCACGGGAAATACAATATTCATACACCTTCCGTCGAGCAGTTTCTAGATAAGTTCCTGAGGGTGCACACTCAGGGCTTGACTAGTAACTGTTATTACTTAATTCGTATACATTTACATACATAAACACATACTTAATTTCATATACATTCACATACAAAAAACACATACTTAAACACAGGAATGAGTGGGTATTGTGGTGTGAATAGAGAGCGCTCTCAATATGGATGATACTCACTGTTTGTTTGGCGTCTGTACTTCCAGGGTGGGTCAGCCTATGGTAGCCTCAGAAGGCCAAACCTAACCCCACTTCTCAAGGGTTATTTAAGGAGATGGGAAAGACCACATGCATTGAATTGGAGAAATGGTTCGTTCCAGAGGGGGAGGGTCTTACATTCTATTTAAGCTAGCTCCTCAGCCTGAGAGGGAGTTGGTAGTTGGTAGTTGGTAGTTGGTAGTTGGTAGTTGGTAGTTGGTAGTTGGTAGTTGGTAGTTGGTAGTTGGTAGTTGGTAGTTGGTAGTT